AAAAAAATTACATGTGTGCCAGCCACAACGAATGCGAAGAGAACAAGCGAAAAATCATAATATATTGGCCGTGTGAGAACGAGTGCTGCAAGCAGTGCAACCAGTATTGCTAGAAAGATATCGAAAAGTGTGGAGAATAAGGTATGATTACGATCGAACAAAGCGGCTATCGAAAGTCGATCCATCTGAAAAGTAAAGATTGCGCTTTGTGAGAATAAAATTCGCACAAAATTTCTCAAACGATTAATAGGAAATAAGATTTAGGGGTGTCTGGAACGCTAGCAAAAGGCACCACAAATATCAGGAACGCCCGAACTATACTATGCGAAACTCTTCGATGCTCCAGTTAGCACCCACCATTTCTATACATTGATTTTCTTCCGGTAAAAATCATCGTAGTGATGAGGTCAACTGTGGTAATGGTAAGAAATGTGTACAACATAATGGGCCGAAACATTTCCTACCATTATAATAATTTCACAAATTCTCTAATCCTCATTTCCTAATTTCCTTTTTGATTCTTCTTATTTAGTCCCTTGCTAATACATCTTTCTACTTCTATACTCCATATCAGTAAATATATGGCTTTTTTAATTCATACACAGGTAACTGACATTTAGCAATGTTCCTGGTCCGTTTGTCAGAAGCCAGTTATAAGATGATAATTCAGAGATGTCTAACAATATCAAGTGCAGGGATACCCGAAATTATTTTAAAAAAAAAAAAAAAAAAATTAAAATAAAATGAAGAAGCCCTCTTAATACCTCCAATTTGATGCCTTTCCCAGCTGTAAGAGTTGGTAGTACTTTGATCTGATAATAATGGCTCTTTTTGCGGCTGCTCAGCCGTGTTGGATCGGATGCACCAATCCCAGATATATTCGCAAAAAATGGTATACGGCGAAGAGACGGTGATGAACGTGCACGCCGTGATCCGCGCGTAGCAACACGCGACATGGACGGGCTTTGGCGATGTGCAGCCAATGTAAGTTCGCGAAATACTTGTGGAAAAACTTCTACAAAATTTAGCGAATATTTAGCAAAAATGTCAGCTGAAAAATTACCTCGTTTGGGTGGTAACATTCAGCAGAGGTGGTTTATACTAAATTCACACCCAGAACATTTCCAAACAGCCGAAATTTGCCAAGTTTTGCTGAAAAAAACCATTCAGCCTGAACGTTTTTTTCGGCAGAACCTGTGATAAGGTTTTTGCGATGACTATTCCCACGATGGCACCGACTCTGCCGCCTGTGTTTACAACTCAGGGATGAAACAAAATCACTCAACATACAGGTCTGCTCATTTGGGACATCTAAATGGCACTGCCAGTTTCTCATCAATTATCAAAATTCGACTGCGCTCCTCTCCACGGTGGACCAACAATGCCTAACAAACTGCACATGTTAACACATAGAAGATTTAGGCCCCCGTCCTATTCCAATCTCTTAGCCACTGTTTGTATGTTTAAAATTTCCACAACAACTTTATGAGATCAAAATTGAAATCGCCAGCAGACTGACCATCGGCCAGTGCACAATGGTCAAAGGCAGTGGAAAAATTGCCAGCTACACAGCTTGACAATCAAACTATGATTACAAGTTTCCGAAGTGTTTGCATAGGGCAAAACATCCTCTTGAAAAATTTTCCGCCCTCTAGCTCTTCTGGCTCTCGGGGCAATAAATTTGTCGCCAAAACTTTCACGGGGTTGTATTTCTAGCAAGTATTCAAACGATGATCAGTATGTATCATACGGTTTTACCAAAAAAAGAAAAAAAAAACCACCAGAATTCGAAACTTTTCTTATATCTCATTTCGATCGATAGAGGTGAGCGAAAAGTGATCTAAGTGGAACTTTTTGTGAAAATCAGTGATAAGTTTTTGTGAAAACCAGTTAGCAACTGGACTGCCTTCTGTGATGGTAAATCAGCTTAGCAATCTTCGCAAAACCAGTCAAAGTGCTTTGTAGCAAAACACGGAAGTCCATTTAAACACAAGGAGGAACGAAAATACGAACCCCTGTTGGATGCTTCTGAGGAATTGTCCGCAAGCGCAAAACTGCCCGGAGAGCGACGCCTGGCAGCATTTCTCAGACGAGCAGCCATTGCCGAAAATGAAACTGTTTGTCTGAAATGAAATGATGGAAGATGACAATAAAATTCTTGTAAATTTCGTTATTACAGTTAGCCAGAGAAGGAATAGCTCAGTTCTTACAGAACAAAAATTATAGAAAAAAGGCGTGCGCAGCTCACAGACGTTGCTCTGGCTCAGCGACGTTGTCTTTGCTCATTCTGAGATGTAATTTACCGATGCTAGTTGAATTTTTGTCCTCGAACCCTCGTTCATAAGCACTGTAAATTAGCGCTTAATCCTAACCTACGCTCTTCCTTTTCTTTATCCAAATTCATGGCATTTAGGCTTCCGGCCTCCCGTTTTTACGGGAAAATTTAACGCCTCGTATCA